TTATTTACATCTACTTTAAACTTATAAATTTTATTAATCGTAGAAAGATTAATTTTTGTAAAAAGTAATCTAAAAACGTAATACAAAATCTTTTTTAATTTGTTCAAAAATTCATGAATGAATTCTTTCGAGAAATCCCACACACAAGTATGAAAAGACGAATGTTATGACGGTTGGAGAAGATTTTTACCGTCCCCGTCGGCGTCCCAAAAAACAGGTAGCCTTATCTTAGCTAAAATATCTGTTGCTAATTTATAACCGTTCCGTTAAGTATTTGTCACAGTCGCGGCCCTGTGTTTTATATATGTTATGGTATGAGTGGCTGCCACCGTTTTACACTTTTCACCGCGGGCGGTACGTTGGTCTCGACCGTTGTTGGCTGGTTACAAGTGGGCACCCAAGACTTATGTTTACCACGCACGAAATATATCATACACACCAACTTGTACGATATGGACGGAAAAAACGTAGTGAACCACAACAAAATTAATTAACACCTTGATTTAAATATATAATAAAAAGTTTTAGTACTGTAAAATTTCGATATAATTAATTAATATGGGAAAGTTATGTTATACCTAAGAGTCAGTTATACGAAAAATTTTTAATTTGCATTAAACTGTTTAATAAATAATTTTAATATACACCAATTCGAACAGCTATAATAACTAATAACAACTAAAACTGGAGCTAACACTTGCATTAGAACTAACACTAGATCTAGAACTAGAAACATTCGGGTTTAGATGTGCGTTTCTTAAGACGGCTAAACCAGAATGTTTCTAGTTTTAGGTCTAGTGTTAAATCTAGTTTTAATATATGTATATTAGTTCTAGTATTAGTTCAATGCAACCTATCGCTATCTAGCACTGTCACTAGACCTAGAACATGGGTCGGCAACCTTTGATGTAAAGTTGCGTGTCTTCAGTTCCATACGAAAAAATTAATAATTTATTGCCAAGCAGAATCATTAGAAATTGCAAAAGGAGGAAAATCATTTCACAGATGGTAACTACGTCAAAGATTGTTTTATACGTGCATCTGAAGAACTGTTTCGTGATTTTAAAAACAAAGCAGAAATCATTAAAAAAAACAAGGATTTTCCATTATCTGCTAAAACAGTACAAGATAGAATAATTACTAAAATGTTTTCAAGAGTAACACATATGCAAGTGGAAGACATTCAAATGGCTTCTGCCTTATCACTTGCTATAGATGAGTATTGCGACATAAAAGACAGGGCACAAATTACCCTTTTCGTCAGGTATAGGTATGTCGTCCTAAGGTCCAAAAAAAGAACTGCTAGGATTACTACCGCTCTCAGGGCAAAGTTGTAGAGAAGATATAGCAAATCCTGTGCAAAAATGCCTAAAAGACAATGGAATCGATATAAATAAAATCGTTTCTATAGTAATTGATGGAGCCAGAAGTAATCTTGGCAAAAGCACTCTTTTGTCAAGTTTAAAGATTTCCTTGAAGCAATAGATAGCCAGTTTCCTGACCTACTTCTGCACTATAAAGTGCGATGGCTTTCCAGAGGTAATGCATTGAAACGTTTTGCTTTGTGCTTGAGTGAAATAAAAACATTCCTCAATGAAAAAAGCATTGACCATCCCAAATTAGAAGAAGACAAATGACTGCAAAAATTCAACTTAATGGTAGATACCACAATGAAACTAAATGAACTAAATCTAAAACTGCAAAGAAAGGACAACCTAGCCTACGCCTTGCTTGAAGAAGTAGTTTGTTTCGAAAAAAACTTACTTCTTTTTTTGTTAAAGACATGAAGGATGGATTCGCTGAGAGATTCGAGCAATTCAAAACAAATAGAAATACTTTCGCGTTCATAGTAAATCCTTTCAATACGAATACAAATGAGACACTTGGAATTGATGCTGGATCGCTTCAAATGCAATTGCTAGATTTGAAAATCAAAAACTAGTGGAAGTTTACAGAATTCAAGAGGAGGTTGGAAGAGTTGGAGCGTATTCTCGGTCTTTAGACGCACGGCTAAACCCAAAACTTTCTAGTTCTAGGTCTAGTGGTAGTTCTAGTTTTAAGTCAATGGTAAATATACAACGATCTAACGCTGAATATATATTTCTAGTTTTAGTTTAATGCAACATAGCGCTATCCAGCACTATTACTAGAACTATCACTAGACCTAGAACTAGAAACATTCCGGTTTAGCCGTCTTAATAGACGTATGGCTAAACCTGAATGTTTCTAGTTTTAGATCTAGTGATAGTTCTACTTTTAGTTCAATAAAAATATCCAACAATCTAGTACTGCATATCAACTAAAACTAGAACTAACACTAGACCTAGAACTAGAAAGTTTCGAAAAATCGCTGGGATGGGTCTAAGGATTTAAATCGTTTGCAATTTTTGGGTATAGATTTTAAATTTTTTCCGCAATGTTTAAGCTAGTTATGACGTCATCGTTATTTTTTTCAAATAGTAATCCCCCATTTTTATTACGGAATATGAAAGAGGATTTTTTTCTGAATTTGGTACATCCAAACTTAATATTAGTTGCATAAGAAAATTTTCGAGAAAAATTGCCTTAAAGTTTCATGATTTTCCATTCATTTGAGGTAGAAAAATAGCAGTAGCCATGCGTAACCATGGCAACCAGTTGTTTTAGATATTTTATTAAGACAATGATTAATTTTTGATAAAAAATAAAACAGTTGGTTGCCATGGTTACGCATAGCTACTGCTATTTTGCTATCTTAAATGAATGGAAAATCATGAAACTTTAACATAATATTTCTCGAAAATTTTCTTATGTAACCAATATTAATATTGACTCTACTAGATTCAGAAAAAACTCCTCTTTCATATTCCGTAATAGCAATGGGTTATTGCTACTCGTTCTCTACTCAAAAAATTTAAATCTTTGGACCCGTTTCAGCGATTTTTCCATAAACTATTCTTAATTGTTTTAACGAATTTAACAATGCAACCTAGCGCTACCTAGCACTGTCACTAGAACTAATACTAGACCTAGAACTAGAATCATTCGGGTTTAGCCGTCTTAAGAGACGTGCGGCTAAACCCGAATGATTCTAGTTCTAGGTCTAGTATTAGTTCTACTTTTAATTCAATAAAAATATGCAACATAATGATTTCTACTTTTAACTAGCGCTACCTAGCACCGTCATTAGAACTAATACTAGACCTAGAACTAGAATCATTCGGGTTTAGCCGTCTTAAAAGACGTGCGGCTAAACCCAAATGATTCTAGTTCTAGGTATAGTGTTAGTTCTACTATTAACACAAAGTCTATTGACATACACTCTATCTAACGACATAATTTTTCGCCTTTCCCATAACATTGCACCAAGTAAATTGTTTGCTGTAAAGTAAGCATTTTAAGCTGACAATACGGCTAATAAAATATAAAAGCGAAGTGTCAATAAAGCTTGTCATAAATAAAAGTGGGCCGATTTTTTTCTAAAATTGGTATTATAGTGAGTTTAGACATGCATGCATGTAGTGGCGTCAATAAAAACTGGCGCGCCAGTAAAATTAAATTGCATGTGTAAACATCAACTGGCATACAAGTTGAAATCATGCATGCATGGATCAGAAAAGTTTGCACCCTTCTGAAATTACTGGCGCCAGTAATGAGTCTAAAAACATGTAACCATGACAACATAGATTACTATCCACAAAAATACAAAATTTTTTAATGTCAAATTTAGGTTATGTTATGACACGATGTTTTGGTCGTTTCTTTTTCTGTATTTCTTTTATCTTTTTTTCCTTCTAATGCTAGTGTTAGTTCTTGTTTGAGATAGATAATGATGTATTAATTAGATAATATCAATAGTATCACTTCAAACTATCCGAAGTTCGTTCTAACGAGGTCTGTTATATCGATGTTTTGCTGTAGTATAATTTTGAAACCCTTGAAAATCGTTTGGAATACAAAAATAATCGCAGCAAAAAAAAAAATTTTAATAATAACTGTTTGCGGTCGTGCGAACAAAAGCAACCACTCTGAGGGGGTTCAAAATGCGCACATTTTCCGCTGCCACACACACTTACCGGCTTCCACTCACACGCACGTCGAAGAGGGCTGCGGGTTATTTCGGCCACAAGGGCTTATGAAATACATATTATTAAACACCGCAAACGGTTCTTCACAAAGAATGAAAAAACCTTGTCAAAAGTAGCACGCACCTTAAATTACGATTTGCACAATGAGAACCTATAAATCTCTAAAAAAAGGAGTTATATTATCGTATTATATAGTTCAAGGATTATTTAGTTTAAGGATTATTTTAATTGTGGTGTTTTGAAGAGATATCTCCAAGTAAGAGTCAATCAAAGTGTCCCTATTTTAACGTGTGGCGAGATTGTCCCCATATTAACGGGGGTTTCCGTACTGTATGTCGCTAATAATTCATAGGGGTAGCTCGGGGAGCCATTGTTCGACGGGGAGGCCCTTTAATTGGAACCGCGGATCAGCCAGCTAAAAAGAGGATGTCATTTCACGAGCCACAAAATGAAACGATTCTCCGGAGACCCTCTTTCGATTCTACCCGTAATTGATTATCCTCAACGCCCCGTAAAGCCATCCTCTTCAAGAAGACCAAAACCAAGTTGAATCCGATGTGAAATTAAAAAGTTTATTAAATTTCTTCAAAGATTTGCAAATGAAAGAAATCTTATAGGGTTGTCAACGGAAAAATAACTTAAACTATTACAACTTCCTTATTACTCCTTACCGAAACGATAAATATTCATATTAGTTCGCGTAGTGGAATAATAATCAGCGACGGCGTTGTAAGAAGAGCGTAAACCGTGAGCACACGTGCACTTTATGCTTGTAAAAAAAAACATTACCATATGGACAACGTGACGAATTCTAGTAGTTGCACACGTTTTCTTAATTAAAGTTAGGGCACAATTCAAATATTGTAACAAAAACAAATTAAGCTATAAGAAAAATTTTCATCGTATTTTTTCATCATTTTTTTCTTTTTTCAGAATCCCGTCGAGAGAACATCTCCCACAGAGACAGAAAGAGACACCGAGTTCTACACGGAAGAATATTTCAAATCTCGAAGTACTACACGAATCAGGTGCAACCGGATACCTTCTTTAGGAGGTATCTTTAAGAAGAGGGCAGTGGCGTCCTCGTGGCACATTAGCCCGGGGGCCGCAATCCTCGTCGGCGGCGGCCGCATTTGTCAGAACAGCAGGGAGCACCGGCTACTGCAAGTTCTTCTGCTATAGCTGCTCCTCTCTTCTCACGGTGGCAAACAACACGTGTTGCAACACGTTGACCTAAAACGACGGGTCAACGTTCACCAGTTCTTATTTTTTGGGAGGTTTTTTGCAACCCCAAATGGAATTTTTTTTCTTCATCACTCCCTGTGGAGAATGAGATTGTTAAGTTGAAATAAAGAATAATTTCATTGTATTAATCTTGTAAGATATCTTGTTAAAAAATAAAAAAAAAAATCTGTTTTGAATAATAAATTATATTATGAGTTGATCTTTTCTAAAACAACCCAATAAGTGTTGACGATTTTGATCGGGTAACAAAACCTTAACAAAACACACCTTAAACAAAAAAGGAAATAAAAAATGATTCACTAGCACTAGTGATGGAACGGATAGTGATTTTACGAAAAGCTGGATATCCGGTTATCCGACATATCTATCTGGCGATTATGGTTGTAATTTTGGGGTGCATTTCTTAAGTGATAAAATGAAATTAATAAGAAAGCTGATAAGTAGAGCTCGGAATTTTATGCAGTCAAATTATAGGAAATATGCGCATAAATATGCAAGCTTTTTATTCAAAATATGCAAAAATATGTGGAAATATGCACCTTTCTTATAGTTGTTATTAATCTATTTCTATCATATTTTTGTATATCTTTTGCACTTTTCACATCTTGTTCTATTTATTTTCTTCTTGTTCTTCCTCTCAAACGTTATCTTAAAAAAGAATAACTAAAAAAGTTAGGCATAGATACTCTAACAGATGAGAATTTAATTCTGAGTCTATAAAACAGATTCATATTTTTCATTATCGATTGTCTAGTTTTTTTAACTCCTAGTGTAAAAGTCTATGAGAAATACAATTTCGGAACAAACCATTGGCAACTCCTCTGAAAACTCTGAAAAAATTCTTAACTGAAATCTTTGGCTAAAACGCTACGACATAATTTAAAAAAAAATACTTATAACTTTGGCACAAGTTTTACAAAATAATTCCTCATTATTTAAATTTAGTTCGGGATAACTTTTTATCCACTGGGACACAAGACACGATATCACTTTAGACATTGTTGTTATAGATTGGTAGGTTAATGTTCACTCATACTGAACACAGCCATAGTAACTATGGTTGGGGAGTTGCTTAAACATAAACTCAACAACGCTAGGGATTCCCCGCATGTTTCTGTGAATCGTTGTAAACAAGAAACCAACCCGCAACCAAAAAATATCCTGTATTGTGCATTAAACTAAAAGGTATGTTCGCATATTTAAAAATCACGCAGTTATTATATTTATTTTATTAAGCAACAAGAAACAAATCTAGTAAAATGACAAAGTATGCAGTAAAAGGCCAATTTATGCAACAATCAAAAAAATTGTAAAAATATGCAATTTTTTTATTGTACCATTTGCCTTATTTTATGTAATTCGCCCAGAAACCAATTTTGAAAAAAATATTCCAGAAAATAAAGAAGATGCATTTTGCATAAAATCCGACCCCTACAATCCATGCAACATAAAACATTTTATCAAAACTTCAAATATTGTTTTCTCAAAAACTAAAAGGTATTTTTCAAAACGGGTTGGTTCATGAGAAAGAGGACACTCTTATTAACACTTTGGGACGTTTTCATACTCATATTCCAAGAAATGGATTTTATACGAATTTTTAAAACTTAATCGGCGAAAATTGCAAAATTCGAAAAAATTGTCGATTATTTCAAAAATTTATTTCTCAAGAACTAAAAGTGATTTTTCAAAACGGCCTTTTGCATTAAAAAGAGGATACTTTAATTAATAATTGGTGATATTTCCACAAGGATACCTCAAGAAATGAATTTTATAGCGAATTTTGAAAATTATCTATGAGAATTGCAACATTGAACATTTTATTAAAACTTCAAACATTGTTTTCTCAAAATCTAAAGATTATTTTTCAAAACGGGTTGGTTCATTAGAAAGAGGACACTCTTATTAACACTTTGGGAAATTTTCATACTCATATTAAAAGAAATGAATTTTATACGAATTTTTAAAACTTAATCGGCGAAAATTGCAAAATTCGAAAAAATTGTCGATCATTTTAAAAATTTATTTCTCAAGAACTAAAAGTGATTTTTCAAAACGGCTTTTTGCATTAAAAAGGGGATACTTTAATTAATAATTGGTGATATTTCCACAAGGATCCTTCAAGAAATTAATTTTATAGCGAATTTTGAAAATTATCGATGAAAATTGCAACATCGAAAATTTTATCAAAACTTCAAATATTGTTTTCTCAAAAACTAAAAGTTATTTTTCAAAACGGGTTGGTTCATTGGAAAGAGGACACTTTTATTAACACTTTGGGAAATTTTCATACTCATATTCCAAGAAATGGATTTTATACGAATTTTTAAAACTTAATCGGCGAAAATTGTAAAATTCGAAAAAATTGTCCATAATTTCAAAAATTTATTTCTCAAGAACTAAAAGTGATTTTTCAAAACGGCTTTTTGCATTAAAAAGAGGATACTTTAATTAACAATTGGTGATATTTCTACAAGGATCCTTCAAGAAATTAATTTTTTAGCGAATTTTGTAAATTATCGATGAAAATTGCAACATCGAAAATTTTATCAAAACTTCAAATATTGTTTCTCAAAAACTAAAAGTTATCTTTTAAAATGGGTCGGTTCCTTGGAAAGAAGACAGTTTTATTAACACTTTGGGATATTTTCATACTCATATTCCAAGAAATGGATTTTATACGAATTTTTAAAACTTAATCGGCGAAAATTGTAAAATTCCAAAAAATTTTCGATCATTTCACAAAAATTTATTTCTCAAGAACTAAAAGTGATTTTTCAAAACGGCTTTTTGCATTAAAAAGAGGATACTTTAGTTAATAATAGAAAGTGATAATAGCGAGAATTCTGTTAGTAATGAATGTGATGGTGAATTACAAGCGAAGAGAAGAAAATTAGACGAAACTGCAACAAGAGATTTTATATATCGTATTTGGATGGTTGCAATGAGGTTGCTAATGACAAACCTGATATAAATAAAGCTGTATTCAAAAAGTCCTGTTGGGGTTGAACTTGATTACTATCTGCAGTGTCCAACACCTAAAAGCGATAATAATTCCTGTGAATGATGGAGTACTAAGTAATAGGTTTTTAATATCCTCTCTCCTTCTAGTTTTAAGTCAATGGCAAATATACAAAAATCTAACGCTGAATGTGTTCTAGTTTTAGTTCAATGCAACCTAGCGATGTCACTAGAACTACACTGTCACTAGAACTAACACTAAACCTAGAACTAGAAAGATTCGGGTTTAGCCGTCTTAAGAGACGTACGGCTAAAAAATAAAAAAAAATCTGTTTTAAATAATAAATTACATTATGAGTTGATCTTTTCTAAAACAACCCAATAAGTGTTGAAGATTTTGGTCGGGTAAAGTGTCCGGGTCACGATTTCGTTGCATCACGACTTCCCAAAAGCGATTTCGTCAAATTTACTAAAACATTTTCAGTTTACCTAAAAGAATTAAATAAAAAAATACTCGGTGTGTCATTACATTTCGTGCGGGGGCATCACCTTAAACAAAAAAGGAAATAAAAAAGGATGGCGATGCCCTCGGAGTGTAATTTTCAGCAATGCCATGATAAGTATTCCTGGAACCTGCCAACTGAAATACTCACGACGCACACAATAATAACAATAATAGAAATCGTTTCGTGTTTTTTCTGTACAAAAAAATTACTTCTTGAAGGCATACAAACCGATATTACTGGGTAATGATAATATTAAAAGATTCGGTGTTTCGTTTCCCGAAAAAAAATTTTTTTACTTTCTTTTTTATTTCTCCTGGTACACGCAACTTGTATGGAGAAGATTTTTATAAGACGAATTTGACCTGTTTTTTTTAAACTCCGTTTTTGAAACCTATATTTTTTCTAATGCTTAAGATGGGGTCGTAGTCATAAATTGAGTCCTAATTTAATGGACGTGTCGTCATAAGTTATTTATGGGCGTTTTTCATCGGCTGTAAAACATAAGTAGCCATTAGCCGCGGGGCTGAGTCGAACCTGAGCGCGTAATATATTATAAATTTTCAGTGGAGACGTTTTACGTCAAAGGATTCCAGGAGGACGATCGTTCGTTGTGCCCATGAAATTTCTTGCTGCTTTTAATCACACCGGGTAGCTAAAGGATCGTAAATAATACAATCGCGAATCAAAGAACGACATTTCTTCATCAAATGTTACATAAAAAAGAATTGATGAATCTAAAACTGAAATATGAACTCTTCGCTGGTTTTAGAGATGAAATCTGAAGAACGGTTCTTGGATGCAAATGAGCTGTGAAAGATTGAGTCCGCTTAGAAAATTCGGAACCCAGTCGCGATCTCAATTAATCTTCCTTAATTGCTCGTCCGGCCACCTCTAGAGGCGGGTTAGATAATTATAAGGGCGACGCTAATAGCCAATGTAATTAGGAACGGCCCTTTATTCTTAAACCGGAAAAATTCACCAGGTGGCTTCTGTGTATCTAAAAAAATATATTAAAATTTTACCTATGCGAAGTTAGCCCCCAATTAGATACGATTTTACATATATAGCATTTTGATTATAACAAGAGAACCACTTAACCGATTTCGATAATCAATGTCTCATTCGAAATTAATGAAGAGCCTGGTGCAAGAAGGGGATATACGCCAAATTTTAAGAAAATTGGATTTTTCTTACAAACGGTTAAAAAAATTCGTATTCATCGTTCAACATAAATACGCATTATGTTCTTCCAACTGAATCAGAATTGTGAGAGAAAATCACTTATCCCGTGTTGTAGACGGATGCAATAATGGGATAAGTTACGTTAGACAGTACACATAAATAATGACTTTTTTGTACCGTGAGGACAATACTGAAATTTTGTATATTAGTGTTTGATTGATGTGAATCGATTTGAACAAATTTTACGATTTTTTCATTGCTGTGATAACTCCAATCCAAATTTAAACGATAAAATGTGGAAATTGCGACCCTTGGCGAATATGGTAAAAAAAACATTCACAAACACTATATTCCTGAAAAAAATTTGTCATTTGATGAATGTATGGTGAAATATTTCGGCAAACATGGATGCAAGCAATACATTCATGGAAAACCGATTAGGTTTGGTTACAAAGTATGGTGTTTGAACACTGTAGATGGATATCTTGTGGACTTCGAAATTTATCAAGGAAAAAGCATATCTTCGAACGAAAGATA